TTGCCAATGTAGCTTTTTTCTGAAACTCATTAGAGCAAACTAGTCCTTATCCTGTCATGTTCTGGAGTGAATATAGGAAAAACTGCATTCCATGCTTGTTCACTGTAAGTCTTTCCTATGACTATACTATATTGATTGAAGAGCAGAAGTTCAGGCTATTGAATAAAGAACCATAATGATCCATATTATTGTTGACTTTAAAAGCCCAAATTCAGAAATGCAATTCCAGAAAAACCATATAATGTCCTTCCCTAAGATGACAACCCCTCAAATGTGTTGGACTACACCTCCTATCTTCAATGGCTGTGCTTTATGATAAGAATTGTGTTGTGACCCATCTGAAGGCCCCATTTGGGGGAAGGCAGCAGTACTATCCTATTGTCAGTAATGGGATCACAAGAAGATTTTGCACTGATATCATAGAATCATAGAGTTGGAAGAAACCTCATGGGCCATCCAGTCCAACACCCTGCCAAGAAGCAGGAAAATCACATCCAAAGCACCCCTGACAGATGGCCATCCAGCCTCTATTTAAAAGCCTCCAAAGAAGGAGCCTCCACCACAGTCCGGGGCAGAGAGTTCCACTGTTCAGTCCAAATGCTTTCTTCCTTAGGTGTAAATGTTACCAGTATAGCTACCATTCAAGAGTTAAAAGAACACTCCCACAATTCTTTCTCTAGAACTTCTTTCAGTTCCTTCCATACTTTGTGGCATGCTGTGTCGCCTACTTATGACTAAATCTAATTGTTAGTCCCAACTGGATTAAATCCAGTTATATGAAATTGACATATTAAATTGACACTTAAGTCCCTTTGATCCAGTGGATCTCTTTTAGCTCGAAGGAATAAATTGATTCAGTCTAAGGGCCCTTCCAGACAGGCCCTATATCCCAGTATCTGATCGCAGGTTTTCTGCTTTAAACTGAATTATATGAGTCCCCGCTGCCAGATAATCTGGGATAAACAGAAAACATGGGATCGGATCCTGGGATATAGGGCCTGTCTGGAAGAGCCCTAAGTGGTGCAAGAATAATTCTTTCTGGAGTTCTGGAAAGGAACCTTCAATACACACACTAAGTCTCTGTATTCCCTGTGGGAGGTTATTGATAATACAATCATGTTGGGGATAATATAAATTGTAGACCAAACACATGTGAAAACATACACATTATACAAGGCTGATCTAACACTTAGATTTGCAAAGACCAAGGGCCCTTCCACACAGCCCTATATCCCAAAATATCAAAGCAGGAAGTCCCACAATATCTTCTTTAAACTGGATTATCTGAGTCCACAACTCAGATAATATGGGATTATCTGCCTTGATATTCTGGGATAAAGGGCTGTGTGGAAGGCCCCCGGTTATGCCCTGAGGCATGAACCAATCATGGCAAAATTCCCATTTGGAACAACAGCAACATAAACTTCAAATGCAATCTTTTAGTTAAGTTTTGCCAGAATACGTGTGCTGCTGCAGTTGTTTGTTGACCTATTTGGGTTATGAGGTCAGTGTTTCACTCAAGGCACAATTGCCAAAGAATTTAAGAAGGACTGGTTCTTCCAAAAGACACCCTCCTCCTTCCCTCATTTGGGAGCAAATGGCCCTGTCTGAAGTTGGCATGTATCCCTGACGTGTTTTCCCAAGGTCAATTTGACCCCTAGCCAAAATATTTCTGTATTCTTGATTTTTAAAAAACAACAACCTAAGTATGCAAAAGGATACTGAGACAAAATAAGAAAAATAAGTTTGTAGCATAAGATTTTGTAAACAGAGTCTGTTCCATCAGATACATGGAATGAAATGCTTGTAGACATACATTTATGCCCATGAATGAGTAGATAATTGTACGAATGGAAGAGGAAATACGAAATCTATGGGTATGGTGATGAGGTGACAAGTACATGTTTAAAAATGATAATTGGGGGACAACTTAGGGCTGGGCTTAGCACAGCAGGCTAAACCGCTGAACTGCAGAAAAATCCTGCCAATAGGAAGATTGACAATTTGAGTCCAGGTTGGGGTGAGCACCCGCCATTAACTCCAGCTCACCTGCCCACCTAGCAGGTTAAAAACAAAAATGTGAGTAGATAAAATAGGTACCGCTTTTAGCAGGGAGGTAATAAAGGTGCCCTTAAGGACATTGATTGGAGGAAAGCTCCTCAGCATGGAAGATGGAGCAACAGCACACGCACACACCATGGCTGGAGTCGAGCACAGCCTCCAAGATGCTGGAGATAAGATGGGAAAAACTGCCCTTATCTCTGTTTATGTTGCTTGTCCTTGTTAACTGTATAATCAGCACTGACTGTTTGCCGTATGTGTGTTCTGTAAGCCACTCTGAGTGCCCTTTGGAATGAGAAGGGCAGGGTAAAAATACTGTAAATAAATAAACAAACAAGCTTGGGAGGAAAGACATTGCCTAAAGCCAAGGTGACTAGCTAACCATATGAATGATGGAGGGAGTTTTTGAAATGCAGTGTGATGCTGGCTGGGAACCAAGATAAGGATGTTAACTAGTGTTATAATATGTATGGTGTGCCAGGAAACCATTGGTTTTGTTCAATTTACTGTTAATGCAGTGTGTGAGTATGTCCCAATTCTACTGTCTCTCTTTCCAGTTATGCTGTTCAAGGATAACATAAATAACTTATATGCTCAAAGTGGAGTTAATGGGGCTGATGGGAGTTATGGACCACAGTTGAGTTAATGCTGCAACTCCTATTCTATCGATTAAAAAAAGGAACAGCCCACATTCCACTCAACCTGTCTGCTTCAATTGAGGGAATTCACTCCTCATCAGTATTTCTTCCTGTCTTTTTGGTAATCAGTGAAAACAATCCTCCATTTTATATCCCTTTTCCAGCCCACTTACATGTAAACTTCACTACATAGGCAAAATGCAAGATCAAACTGTGTTTGCCCAAAGAAAGATCTTATTTGCTTCATAAGTCAACAAGAGCTTGATAAAAACTATATTTAATGAAAACTATATTAAAATATGAGTAACTTTAAATTCCTGTAAAGAAGTTATACGTTATTCTTTCCATCTCAGTTTGGCCCTGACCATTCTGAAACTTACAAGTCTCAAGTTTCACTGCCATCATTTGAACTGCTTGCTGAGTAAAAGATATAGAACCTGCTCATTCTATCTGATCTAACTGTGAATTCCAATTCATTAAACATGGCATGAACATGAGGTCACATCTATGGCCCTGTAACTTTAAAAGTGAGGGTCAATAAGGATGTTTTGGCCTGGCACCCTGCAGAAAGCAGCAGGGAAACCTTGTCAGGAAAGCCATGGTATGGCTGGGACACCACTACTGAAAAGTCCCCAACAGTAACTTGTTTCACTTCATTTGAAGAGGGCACAGTAATACTACTACAGAAGAGTATCTTATGGTTCAGGAAAATACATATTTTGGGAAACCAACTGTTGGCTATATCAAAATTTTTCCAACCTCATATCTAAAGCCCAGAGAGGAGTTGTGTGCAGTTTTCCCTTGGCAGCCAATGAGTCCAAAGCTTTACAGCCCAACTGGCAGAAACAGAGTTATATACAAAAGGCTTCTCAAATGGCTGACAACAGAAGAAAAATTGGATTCCCAGTACAATTATAATCTGTTTAATAGATCCCAGGATGCATTTGTTTGCTGCTGTTATAAACTTTCACTTGATCCAAAGACATAAAGGCCATTCTTACCACCTGTTATATAGAACCTGGCCCTGACTCACTGATTTAATTATCATTAGCATGATTCTATTCAACTTTTATTTTTATTTATCGCATCAGAAGCTAATTGAGAATACAGTTATAATGTATGAAAAACCACAAATAAAGTTAAAAACTTGGCATTATATTAAATTTCCTTTGACCAGAAGCTGGCCATTTCGAGTGCCTCTGGTGTCACTGTATAAAGGTCCTCCATTATGCATGTGGCAGGGCTCAGGTTGCAGTGTAATAGGTGGTCTGTGGTTTGCTCTTCTCTACACTCACATGTCATGGACTCCACTTTGTAGCCTAAAGATCTGTGATAACCGCAGTAATTTAATTCTCTAGGTAATTGGGATGTACAGTAATTATTTACTGTAGACCTTTTTAGGCTCTTCTGCGTTAATGTTTTGTGCTTTTAGAGAACTGTGGATTTACTGATCTCCATCTGCTATGACTTCAACATGATTTGTGTTCACTAAGTGCTCACAATCAGGGATAGCTAGAGAATGATCTGATTTTCATGCAAATCAAGACCAAGTGTTGACAGGACTTTGCCACTTGTCTGCTTTCAAGGAAATGTAGAGATTTGCAATAGATCTTTCACTAGTTCCAAATATATATCCTCTCTTTCCAGTACTTTATCTTGTCATGTGGAAGGTTGTTTTTAAATTCTATGCCACCTTCTATTTTCTATATGAGATAGAAACCACATATCTGGGATGCAATTGTGGAATAATTTTGATTTCAAACAATCATGCTGTACTTTCCCCAAATTAACAGGCAAGGTACTCATTACATTAATGGGGGGGGGGGTCCTCTTTATCTACATTTATGGGGAATGTATTTGAAAGCAAGAACTCCAGATGTAAAGCAGAGTAGTAATTTGCCAGTTAAAACCTGAAGTTCTAGTGTAGTACACATAACTTACAATGTGGCCATGAATTCACGCTTTATTGTGTGTGCACTGCTTTTATGAGAGTTAAAATATAATCTGAGTTAAATGAATATGCTAACAGAATTATTGCTTCATGACGCATACATCAACTATTCAAAAACATGGGGAAAGATTGAAGACACCCAAAGCAATGTAATTAAATGGCTTCATGTTATCCCAATGTCATGCACTCACATAAAATGCCAAGTGAAACTAAAAAAAATCAAATGGGTCTTTTTATAATTAAACAGAACAGAGATGTCATAATATAGAGTCATTTTAATCAGGATCCTCTCTTTTAACTTCAACACTATTTTCTTTTTCTTGTGTGTGTGTGTGTGTCTTTTTTTGCAGGCTGCTTTTCAGGAGACAATGACCATTTTTTGGCAATTCAACAAAAAAAGAGCAGGAAGCCCATATTCATTTATCACCATGTGCAAAGTGTCGAAAAAAGTTTGGATACCAATGATCAGATGGATTATGGGCCCAATTTCTACTTGCCTTCCAAGGCAAAATTAAGCAAACTGCACTCTGCCATTATGGTTAAATCAGCGTTCTCTCAACCTGCACATGACCCGTCCCTCAGTCTCTTAGCTATGACTGATGGAGAGGATCAGGAAGTGGAAAATCTGTCCATCCCACCTGCTAATGTGATCACCGTGGTAAGTTTTGTCACCTTTTCTACAACTTTCAGGTTCTTATGGCAAAGATAATCTACTGTTGACTTCCATGCTATTGGTGACAATTTGTTTTAAGAGATTCAAGTTAGATCTTGAAAAAGCCACTTTTGGACAGCAAGGGTCAAAATTCTCAGCTAAATGTTCAAAGGGGGGGCTACAGAATTGGGCAAACCTACCAGGTAATAAGTCCCATTGAACTTTTCCCCATATATATATATATATATATATATATAGAGAGAGAGAGAGAGAGAGAGAGAGAGAGAGAGAGAGAAAAGAGAATTGTTAGTAGTTAAGAAATGGATCTAACTAATCGGTCCTTAACAAACCTAGTGATGCTACTAGATATTTTGGAAGCTACTACTTTCTTATACTTCCAGAAATATTACATTTCTACATTTCAGTTACTCCTATGCAGACTATGAGAATAAGGCATAAAATAGAATGGTTAGTTGAGAAGACAAAAGCTGAAAGTTTGTAAAATGTTAAAGATCTCATTTCCAAAACATCTTCTCTACCATAAAAATCATCTGATCCTTCTCAATTTAATCTATTGAAACACAACAGTTAGTTGAAAAAAACTTGATAGTTGCTTTTAATTTCCCATATAGCCCTGGGTACCCAAGAAAAAGTTGGCCAATATCTTCAGTCAGTCAAAATGTATGGAACTTCCATATTCCAAGGGTTCTAAACCAATCCATATTCTAAGGGTTCTAAACCAATCCTTCTCCTATCTTGCTGTATTCCTCCATTCACCTTAACCCCTGCTTCAGAAGGTATCGCAGTCCTTCTTTATATGTTTTGAGGATGCAGAAGGATAGAGAAAAGGCTACAGGGAGAAAGAAGACCACTGTCTCTCCTGTTCTTCTAACAGAAGCAGCTTCTTTGGTTGAACTGTGCTCTTATATCCTCTTATATCCCCAAAGCCCTTCCTTCTCCTTTGATCTTGAGGAGAATGCAAATAGCATCCTGTAGCCAATAAATGTTGGTGTATTTGGTACATTTGATCCCAGGTTCAGAGTATATATGGATATATTTTTGAGATCCACATTCTCTGTTTGTTCTGGGATTTCAGAAAACAAAAAAATGTTATACAGTGACATCACAAGGGGGGATGCAGAGAGTGCAAACTGCACCAAGGCTATCATCAGATGATGTGAAACTAAAAAGGTGGTCTATGGGGAAAAAAGTGTTTTGGTGGAAATTTGTAATTTTTTTTAAAAAAAATCCCTGTAATTATAACTTCAAAAATTTGTTAGTCCAGTTGACATGTACTGTACCAATATACCTACAAGGTGGATAAAACTCTTATGCTAATGAGCTTCCTACTGTGCATGCACTCCAGTCAGAGCTGTGATTAATACCCAATTGCACTGATGCTTTGAATCATGTAGTTTCATTGTTTGCAATGCTGTTTTAGCTACAATATTATGTTCTGGTCTGGTCTTGGAGGAAGTTGATGGGATTAACACCATGAGTTACTGCACTGGGTGTTACCAAACCAAGTGACATCCACCACCACCACCACACACACCTCCCCCCCCCCCCATACACACAAAACCCTTTCAAAATGAGAAAAACAACTGAAGCTTTCAAAACTTGTAATCTTTCCCCACAAGAAAAAAAACTTTTTAAAATTTGTCCATTTAAAAATAACTTAACAAATGTTTACAGTCCTAGGACCCATTGTGGTGGAGAAGGCTACTTTAGGAGAAGCAGTGGAGAAAACAGATATGCTAGTCCTGTTAAAGACACATCCTCTCTGCCAATTACAAATGGTTAGACAAGATTTTTAGAATGCTGCTCTTGTAATATCCTTATGCTTTGCCACACTGGGGCTGATGGAAGTTATGGACCAAAATATCTGGATGTCTCTACGTTGGCTTCTTATTCTCAGAATCCTTAAAGGACTTTGATTGTCCTATTAAGAGAGCTCTTTTCCACACAGATGAGCATTAGATATGGCTGTGCCTCACGGGCAGAAGATGGAAGTTTCTACCCACACAGTTCTGGCTATTTTTAACAGGACAAAGTACTATATAGCAACCTGGAGTTTCAAAGAGGAAATACCGGAGCTCTTTCCATATGTTCGGTGTGATTCCAATGTATATTACATGCTTTTAAATACCTGATGCCTGAATGAAGCACATTTGCACTTGGTCATTCTTACATAACTGCCCTATTAAATTGCCATTAGCTGCCTAGCAGGAGACCTGAGTTTCTCTTCCAAATGCATTTGTACAATGCAAAGGCGACTGTTGCTGCGATCATGATGAAAGCCAGGCTGAGCAAACACCATATGGGCTGCAATGGCTGGGCCCAGCAGTGTGAATCAACTAAGCACCCGGCTGGCCTCTATTTAAAATCGGAAACCTTCTGTCACTCTATCCATAGACCCATCTTGTTTAGTATTGCCTTTTTGAGATGGAGATCAAAAGTATCTCAGTGGCTCATTCTGGAGAGAAGGTCAACTGCCAAATGGAATAATCTCATGAAAAGAATTTTTCTTGAGGGAACTCTTAAAAAAGGCTTGGACAATACGCTTTGTGATATGCTGCAGGGAAACTGTCTGCAAGTAGTTAGGGAAAGACCTGGAGTTTTTTCAAAACTATTGAAGAATTATACTTTGTTTTGTTAAAGTATGCTTTCTCTATTTGTTTCCTCAGTTATTTTTTGCTTATCCTCGATTTGGAGTTACAGGACAACAATAATCTCTGCTTTGCTTCCTGCTGACTTTTTTTCATGGAAGATCCAGAAAGGAGTTCCACTGGGCAGGAAATAGAACAGTTTTATGATGTGTTTGCCTTTAGGGAAATCTTGGTGCTAACCTCTTCAGTCAGTTTTTCCTGTGTTCTCTCAAGAGACTGTTATTCGTTTATTTAAAACTGTATATACCAACTTTCAGTTCTGAAAGGTGTCCCCTTCAATGGTTGATGACATCACTGTAACACTTTAAATAACCATACAGATATTCACTCAGCTCAGAAGAGTAATAAAAAATAGCAGAGCAAAGAGATTCATGTGTGCTGCTTTGAACAACTTAGTGAATGTGTGAAAGGGAGGAGTTTCTATTTCTTTCTGAAAGACACTCCTGAATAGCCATATTATGCATTGGCTTATATCAATAGCATCACTATGGTTGATCAAGTCACAGTGCATGGGCAGTATTTTCAAGATTGCTATATTTTAGAATAGTTATGGTGTTTGTGTGTTTAGATATAGAAATGCTTGTGCAACCTGTCATTGCAAATCAATTGTGTAGAAGTTAATTTGAATTAAAATTGCCTTGAAATAGAGGCATTGTGGGCTATACAGCCAGTCCCCAAGCTATGGAACAGTTAGGTCCTATAGGTTTGTTCTTAAGTTGAATTTGCATGTAACTCAGAACCAGCAACATCCATGACCAAATATAACAAATACTTTTGTCCCAAAGAGCAGTCTCTGCTATGTTTTTTTATATATATATACAGCTAATCATAGCTGCATCCTATCTGTTGCAGGCCTCTGCCCTTAATGGCTGCCTCCTGTAAGTTCTTACATACATATTATCAGCCCTTTAGACCAGAAGGAAGATTAGCCACTGGTCATGATGCTGCCAAGCCTTCTGTATACTAACCACCACCAACCGCTAGGCATTCCAATACCAACCACTATCAACTGCTGGACATGACAATTGGATAATTGGATTTGAAAAAAAAATGACTAGTGGTCCAAGGCTTGGTGATAAAGTTTCAGTGGATACACCTTTTCCCCCTGATAAGTCTTTCAGGAATAAACTTCCCTTTTTAGGAGTAGATTTCTCTCACTTCCTGATGTTTCAGCCTCATTCTTAACTATGAGTTGTTTGTAAGCTGGGTGTTTGTAACTCAGGGACTGCCTGAATTCAGAAGAAAACAAGAGGAAACTTCCTCTAAACATTCTATGTCTGTGAAACCTCTATGAAATCCATAGGGTTGCCATCAGTTGACAAGCAGTTTGAAAGCACATACTTCACATTTTCTTTTAAGTTGGATTTTGGCCAACATCTTTAAGATGGAGTGACATTTATCTTTTTTAGAAGCCAAAATCATGGCAAAGGGAATTGGTAGGTCAGGAGATTAACCTTTCTCCCCACTGTGGCTCTAATCCAGACAAAGACCATGTGTCTGCAGTATGGAGGGAGAAGAAGCCCCCTTTGAAACATGCACCTCTAATTTCTTCCTTTCCTGTTACTCCCAGCTTTACAAGCGAGTAATTTCTTGTACTAATGGTTTCTACTGTTAATTCTATTCCTTGAATACTTAACAACTGAATTGGGAAGTCTTTCCATTGGAAAAAGACAATCATTGGCAAAGTTGAAGGTAATGGGAAAAGAGGAAGACTGCTTCACATAGATCTACTCAATCAAGAAAGTCTTGGTATCAGAACTGCAAGAACTGAGCAGGATTGTTAAAAGCAGTGTCACATAAGTTGAAACTATGAAGAAAGGCAGTCTGGGAAGTTAGCTACCCTCCACCAATCCCCCATGCCCTTCCACTTTTTTCTAATAAGTCAACATTGTCAAGATCTTTCAGCAGAAAAAGTCTGCATCCAATCTAGTTGTATGTACTTGAAAAGTGCAAGCAGAGGTGGTAAGCAATTGTTGTTTTTCTGAGAAATAAATTTGCATTATAATAGGAAAGCTGAGAAAAACAGCCTCTCTTTTTGCCACATAACAGTTTCCTTGAAACACATGGCAAATGCTCAGAACTCTGTGGGCGTAACTGAGCCAAAACACATTGTTTTGTGAATCTGTCAGTCAAGAACCAATAGTAATGGATAATCTCAAGATTCAGCCTGGAGGACTGCTGAACATTTTATTTGTATGCCGTGTGAGATTGAGGGATATATTTTTTATCACACAGAGAAATGTGATGGAACCTTGAGGGATTTTCTGATGCAAGAAAATATTGGTCTTGTCTGCTGCTTCTCACTTCCTCTGTCAAGAGCAACAGGAAGATGATTTC